ACGCCTCGCTGGTGAGTGCCAACTAGCACGAAACCTAGGTCGAAGGCTTCCTGCCGATTGCCTCCAACCACCTAATGTCATCAATGTATGACCTTTTTATCACATGACATTACAACCAATCAGAATCCAATGACGGTAAGAAACAACTACTGTCTATCTTATTGGTTCATGTATATTAGTCATTTTATATATACTCTTGCTTTGTACACTGTTATATACACTTGTTCACACATTTCGTACACTACGTACCCTTTCACTCCCACATTTGTGTGACAGTCATTTTTTCTTCCTTGTTTGGAGAATACAAGTATTATCGTGAACGTGGTGGTCTTGTGCTATTCCTCTTTCTGCGTCAGGACTATTAACTACTCGACGAGTACATAACAACAGAAAATGAGGAAAGCGATAATGTTAGGTTTCTAGGTGCCTTCCTAATGATATATATATATATATATATATATATATATATATGTAGTACAGTATGCAGAGTATTCATCTGGCGACTTCTATGGAAATTTGATGAATTTATCAAATCCTTATTTATTAACTCTTGTTACTTGTTTTAAATTCCTTTCAGGATATAAATGTTTGCAAGTTAAATAACTGTTTTTTTTCTTCAAAAAATGTTATTTGCTTCAAGAAGGAGAAAAGAAATACTTCAAAATTTTTATCAGTACATTAATTCTGTGGCCGATCTGGTTCATCTAAATTACACTTCACATGTCATTTATTAATTAATGTAATCGATGCTAAATGAAGGCGGAATGAAAACCTGTGTCATAGTAGAGAACAAATAATTGGCCTCGGAATTACTATTCCTTAGCTATACCAACTTATCTATGAGACTCAACTGCAAGGTATGTCATCATTTTACTTTAATCAACATGGTTAATAGCCAGACAACATGCAAGTAAATGATACGTTGAATAAGTATTTCCAACAAATATATCCACCATAAAACTTCGACAACTTTAGCCCACAGAATGAAAAATGTCTTTTTATTGTCAATTCAGAATATCTAGAATATCTTAAGCTGGGATAATTGGTTCTTTCGGAAGTAGTGATTTAACATTCATCAGTTTATGGCATATGGGAAAACTTATGTCAAATGGAAATAAACATTTTGTTTCTTTTAATATTAAAACCAACTAGGAAGAGAGACAAAAGTAGTCTAGGTTTTACTGCTGATCTCATTCCTTAAGAAGTGGAAACTTATGTTCCCTACTGTGATTTACACTCTCGTCACATTATGTTAAAAGTCAGTCTAAACGAAGAATATTCTTTTCAATAATTTCTCCCCTTCAGGTCCTAACAATTATAAAACAATTATAATATTTGTAGTCGTTACAATAAAGGCCAGTTATGCGGCGGCGGTGGATACATTTTTAACGTAGAATAACAGATTAGCAGCTATGGAGTGTCAAAATAAATAGTCGTATTTGAGTGTGACAAACGTGCTAGGCTGAAATCGATTAGAAATATTTCGGTGAAATGCGAGACAATGGTGGTGATTAATCATAATAGAATTGTAGAGTGTGGGGTAGGAAAATTGACAAATCAGCTCAAGGTTATAAAAGGTGTCAGGTGAGGTGAGTGGCTAGTACAAAGTGGTCTGAGTTAAACAGGAGATAGTAAGACTGCAATGAGAGGTTCATAATGAGATAACGAATATGTTGAATGAAACAGGTGGAGGCATATATTGAGAAAACAGATAATATCACTAATAATAAGTCCGTATAAATGAAAATTCGATAGTATTGAGGGAATGTTTGCATATCGGGCATAAATTATGACGAATAATAATAATAATAACTGTAATAATGATATTCATAATAATAAGCAAAGTAAAACAGAACAAAACCAAGAGGGTTAAGGGGAAGGAGCACTCTTGGTGAGAAGAAAAATCTTCAATCCAAGGTTGGCCACGGTAGGAACAGCGTCTGGACGTGTTCTTTTTGGATACAAAGTTCTGGTTTAGTCGATCTTATTGCAACAGCTTTAGATGTGTGTAGGAGACGTAAGCGAACTGTACGTGATGACGACTTCGGAATTCGGTATATAACCCTGAAAGCTGTGTTGACATCGATGCGATGTCCAGTATCGACCAGGTGTGACAGGATCGAGCTTTTTATGCACTTAATTTCCCTCCTGCTGAACCAAGCTGGTTAGTGTTCTCGAACCCGTAGACGAACCTGCCTAATCGTTCGCCGAATATAACTTGAACCACAGGAACAGTTCATTTCAAATTGTACAGTATTTAAGAATGACAATAAGTGATCTTAGTTCAGCAAAATGACGACAATACAGTCAGTTTAACTTTGAGTTCAATTGGGACTCAGATACTGCCTCTGACATAATGTTGTTAGGTGAAATATAAACTGAAAGTATAAGTGTAATTTGGCCATTTGAGTAGAGTATAATTTCTTCACAGAATATTTTCATTTGATAAAGCACACACACACACATTGACATGGTATTATGATTATTACTACATTAATGTGTGTTTTATCGAATAAAATCATTTTAGGATAGAATAAACTAAGAATAAAATGAAAACCATAGAAAATACATGATACCACTATAAGTAAGATTTAAAAATGACGTTACTTCTCCTCGAAAAAAAAGAAAAATATCGGAGATACGAATTCCTCTTAGTAGTAATAGTCATAAAATAACTACTAGACATCCAACACTTCTTACTTATTAAGTGAACTGAATAGTTCAAATTGTAATCACTAAACTTAATCATTAAAATTAAGAAGAAATCAGTCTTGTAATGCTAAGAAACAGATAATGCTGAACTGTTCGATTATATCAGGGAAAACAGGCGTATTGCATGAGCAAAATCTGTGCAGAAAGAACATCACAGTGGGACTAGCAGCTGTTAGTAAGAAGGTTAACTGTGAAAGTATGTACTGCAGCAAAACAAACTACAGAAATTAACCTTAACCTTTCAATGCTTAAAATTTGGTAAATTCTATATTTTGGTTTGTAAGGATTAGTTATGTTTTACGAGTTGATCACGGATTGATATCAGTTAGAGAACCATTGAAAACCAGGGAGTACTGGACAGCTGCTGTTTCATCCTAGTTTGGGAATCATCGGCAGTACGCACCCACTGGGTTTCGAACCCAGGACCTTCCGGTTAAAAGGCAAGCTCGTATACCATTCGGCCACTGGGACCCAAATCAATGGCTCGTGAATTCTAACGTCTACCAATTCGTGATTTAGCGCGTACTGCCGATGATTCCCAAACTAGGATGAAACAGCAGCTGTCCAGTACTCCCTGGTTTTCAATGGTTCTCTAACTGATATCAATCCGTGATCAACTCGTAAATACTATATACCGTGGATATTAACTAACCATTTAGCAAAGTTCACTGCTCACTGAGATAAGTATCTTTTCAACTTCAAAAACTTTAAAAACGTTTTCTGAAGAAAAAAACGACTCTCCGACTAAGATCATACATATTGGTCTTTAGTATGATTACCTGAATAACATAGGTAATATATATGATTCATCACTCATTTAGCTGTAGAAGTACAGATAATGAAAGTAAAAAGACAATCAGGTATTTCCATTACTATATCAAGACAAAATCACAGACGATAAGAAGGTGTGTGTGATACAGCATGACTATACGAGGAGAATAAGCTACTAGTGAACATGTTTGTGATTTAAATAGATTGTTTATTTTTTACCATTTATATGAATTATAATAATATCATGCAAAAATGATGCTGAACTTCGAGTTTGAAATAGTTCATCTATAGGGAATCTCAAAACTTCTCGCCTAATGTCTAAAATTTCTATCACTGAATTTTGATTTATTTCTAAAACCAAAATATAACAACATTGATATAAGAATAAAACTTGTGCACTGTGGTAGATTGTAACTCCATTATGGGTAAAATTTTGTTTTGATAAAGTCTCACAGTGTTGTTATACAGTAGTGTTTACAGTAAAGTGCAAAGTGAGTTCGTTGTTCACACAAGTATTCACCCCTACCTTGATTTTCACTGAAAACATTATTCTATGAGTATCCAGTATACCTTCATACTAGTCAAATTTTTGTGAGGGAGTAGGGATGATACCTTTAACTTTAGATATAAGTGTTGACACAGTAGTTTTAAGTCTGCTATAGACGACAATTACAACAAAGTATGTACCTGGAACATATTGAAATTCGTTGATGATTAATTTGACTATCAGAAAGATGATTTAAGTCTTCATAGTTCAGATGAGAAGTGAAAAACAAAAATAATGGAGTCTTTTAAAGTTTGACCACGGATTGATATCAGTTAGAGAACCACTGAACGTCAGAGAGTACTGAACAGCTGTTTTATCCTAGTTTAGGACTCACCGGCAGTTTCGAACCCAGGACCTCCCACCAGTTCACCTTGCATTGTAAGTGGAAGGTTGGTGAGTCCCCAGGCTAGGACGAAATAGCTGTCCAGTACTCCATGGTCTTCAATGCTTCTATAACTGGTATTACTCCAATGGTCAAACCTAAAACACAAATCTAATTTCTACAAAACAACTCTTGAAAATTAATGAGTTCTGAGTTTTATCCAGTTTAAGACATTTCAGCTGCTGTATATTTACTTAACGAAGTACACTGTAATTACTGATATAAGGATAAAGCTTGGGCACTATGGTACTCTATTACTGTATAACACTGTGCTATTTTATCAAAATAAAATTTTATCCATGATGGAGATACACTGTAATTATTTTCTTTCCTAAGCAATTTTAACCGAGCCGTTAAAATAAATCGAGGAATGTGGATCTAAATTTATTATTTAACTATCTAAGTGGAACTTGGAAAGTGATCCACACTGCTGATCTCGTCGATTTAAAAGCAAATACCGAGTGAGGTGGAATACAACTTCATTTAAATAAATTATAAATACCTCAGTTATCTGTTGTAAATATTAATTTTGTTGATGTGATATTTATCAATTATCAATAAATACATCACTAAGAAATGGTGACTTACATGAACAGCAATAAAACATTAATATGTACTGAAGAATTACTCATGGTCGGATAAAACAATTTGTTAAGATTATTTCATGTAATTATTAAAATTCGTGGATAAATTTTCACAATTCACTCTATATTTAAACTTATATTTCGATAGATAAACAACACATATCGACAGTATAGTCATGAATAAATATACAAACAAACATGTCGATATGAACACCGGTTCTTAGGATTAGGTTCGGTTACGTTAGAATAATAATACTGAGTGCTAATCAATTCTAAGTATTCATTGGCTTATTATTTACTATATTGCAGATTAATCATAATTGACAACCTTTAAACAGCGAATAATAAATTTCGTAATAATAGTTACAAAATGAAAGTGTTGACACTTTCTGTCTCATGTTTTCATTATTTTTTCTAGTGTTGGATTAAATATTTATTAGCTACTTAATTAAAAATAGTAGGTGTTACATACTGAATGAATTTATTTAAATCTTATTAAAAGGTTTTCAATAAAGTTGTCTGAAGTGTGAGATAGAGATTTCTCAAGTGAGTTAATTTTTCCTCGGAATTAATCGGCAATAAGTAGAGGTCTTGATGTTACTTAAAACAATGCTAATAGTGAATTACCTTCAAACTTTCATAGGTAGTCAGTAGGCAAAGAAAATTTGAAGACTTCAGTCCCAACAGTGTCCATTTGCTTTTAAGTACTTTAAAACACTCTGAAAGCTGACGAAGTACATAGATAACTCTAACTTAAAGCCTTTTAATTTAAGAATCTGTTCTTTCTGTGTTTATCCATCCGAAACTAATGAAGTTTGGAGGATATTCTTATCAGTTAGCGTAAAATGTGGACAGAAAGGTTTATAATAAGATTCTAACCGAATTATTTGACAGTTAACATAGCATTCGTGTAAAAGTGTATTTAATTATAATGGAGAAGATTTGTAGCTGAGATGGATGGTTCCAGTGTAGTTGTGTTCTCCGAGTTCGATGGTTTAGTTGCAAAGCTTTCATTGTCTTAATAGACTACATCCTCAGCGCATACTTCAGTTACAAGTCAGTCTTAGGAATTCTCCACGAGTTTATTGGAGAACACATCTAGGCGAAAAATAGGTGTATTTGTGGTGAGAGCAGGCTAGCCAAAAATGGTAGACAGCATTTTACGTCAATGGGTTTGTCGCAAATGTTGGTGGTGAGAAAATATGAACAAGACTGATTCAACGACCAATCACAGCAGACTTGGCGTATAGATTGTCTGACATTGAAGAAACAGTCACAAAGAGATGCAAAGTCAACTTTCTGTAAGAAACAACCAATCAGAATACTGTGTTTGTCCGCTTGAATAAGCTATAATAATGTACATGAAATATATGTAAATACGTGTTGATTTCCTTAATAAACGATCTGTTGCCTGACTCTTGTCTTTTGTCGTTACATATTTAATAGGATTTACGTTTTTATTTAGTGATCCCTTGATCAGTTATTTAAGTGTTGTGATCAACCTATTTCTGAATTTGATCTTGACAGTATTTTAAAATGTTACAGTTAAGTTATAGTTCGAAAGATATATGAATCTGGTTCATAAGATCCCTATAAAGCATAATAGCAGTTACACAAACATCGGTTTACATCAAGAAGGCTGTTAATCTATGTGTAAAACATGGGCACTGTGTTAGTAAGTAATTCCATATTAGTTTGTTTATTCGATGTATCACACAGTGAAACAGTATTATTTACTGGGTGTCTGTTAAAGGATCCTGTGGAGCCTTTAAAACAATTTAGTTTATCTAATATCCTACTGGAATGGTTGTCAGGTCAAATACATATGTCAAACTGGGGCAGTCAGACTAGTCGAACATAAAACCCTGGCAAAATCTAGATTGGATGACCCGAATAAGATAAGAAATTTAGAGAATAGTTCAGCTGTAGCACTACATGCAGTTACACACAACCATACAATAGAAAGGGTAAAGATGACAGTTTTAAATTCTTACATAGGAGGGTGGAGGGAGAGAGTGATAACATAAGCTCTGTTTATCAAGCCAACTGCAAATACGTGTAATGTGAATGATTCAACAGCTGTCCCAGATATCTGGAGAATTCTACTACCCTTACGACAAATAGGAGAGGACAAAGAAAACCATAAAACTCAAGTTTCAATATGATTATGAACAATAAATTTTGTTGGAAACGTCATCCAGTAAATAATACTGTTTCACTGTGTGATACATCTAGTAAACAAACTAATATGGAAGGCTGTTAATCACCTTAGTAACTATTTAGTGTTAGAAGATCTCTAGCATTTCATTGACGAAAAACCGACACTTTTATAAATATTTTAACATATAGAGAAGAGTATAAATACTCTAAAGCCTCCTTCATTTCAGTTGATTTACCTAAATTCTCGGTATTCTCATTGCAGTCAGAATGGTAATTTGCTTTAGGTTGATTCATTTTCACATTATTCTTTTGCATCCTCAGGGAACATTGGGCTTCAAGTTTCAACTTTGAAGTTTCAGTAGTGGTGGTGTTTATTTGTACACAGTGGGGTTGCTAGCCGCACATCCAACTATCTCTTTCTCACCGGGTTTACAACGGGATAACTGAGGTTTCAGAATGCATCGGCTGAGGACCAAGCCTCAAACCTCGTGGGTAAGTGGTGACTGTTTTACCACTCACACGTCGATGCTACTATGGGTTACTGGAGTAGTATTCATCTGACATTTGGTACATTGTAACTAAGCCTCTGTAAACACCACCAGATAGTTATTTAACACTTAAGGTGTCTCTGGTTACATATAAGAATCTCATTGGTTTGTAATCAAGAAATTATATACTCCGTTCGTTTGTTTTCCATATGTTTCAAATGTTGTGCCGTAATATGATCATATTAATTTATGTTTCGTTGGCTTTGCAAATCACTGCATATAGTCTTCATTTGTATGCAATCTACTTAATGATAGGGAATTTTCATTCATTTTCATGACCTAATATCAATTACCAGTATAAGCCATTTGACACGGTTTATCGTATTAACTTAACCACGTGGAGTTACGGTATATACTAACTCCATTGTAAAGCATAAAATTATTTCCCCGTTCATCTTGTTATCGTGCGGCGGTGGCACGGCATTACAACTCGCGCCAACCACGCAGATGTTTTAGGTTGAATCCCCGGCCGACGACCACCCTTACCTCGCTAAGCCAGTAATATGACTGGTAAAGAGGGAAGTTTGGGCACGAGGCTAACAACCTCATCCCGTAAAAGTAAACGATACTGCCTCCGAGACTTCAAAGCTCCAGCCTAAAGCCCTGAAAGGAATAAAATTAAATTAAAATTATTATCTTTGTATCTCTGCTGTATATTATTCAGCATTATATGATATTTGCATGGCAGAATGTATGAGGTTCATTTTGTCTCCGACTTACATATTGGTTATTTCAAATTCCATCACACCAGGTTAACAGCATTAGCCAAATTTATTATTTGTATTAGTCGCTTAGTTTTAGGCTACCTGTATTTTGTGTATAATTTTATATGAGCTATTTGAGGCTGTGTGGTGTATGATTAATTAGATGAAAATGGTAAAAAACATTCAGATTTTTTTTCACTTACCTCTATCTATTATAAGCTGAATTTCAATCGAATGATTGAAAACGACTGGTAAGGGACCATGGTTTTGACATGTTGATACTCATTTCTATTGCTTATCATCTCCACAAGACTTAAACAAAATACGATCATTCACATCTGTACTACACACAGTATGAGAAATTAAACTAAACTCACTCACTGGAATTCGTGCCTCAACACTTGGGATTTGGTTACTTGCTATATAGACGTCTTTACGCATATATGCAAACAGACAATCAAATTAATAGGATATCTTCCTCACAATCATGATAAACATTTCGGGTGTAACAACTTTAGAAGTGATACAACACAATCAACAATCTTCATTCCCCCACACCTAGGGTATTTGTGACTAATAAACGTCAAAGATAAAAATCAATAGCATTCCTTGTTTATCCTACAACAAATATCTTACTGTTTCAAACCATCCGTTCAACATTTGGTCATTCAGATTCGACTTACAAAACTAATACTAAATTTGACTGCGCTCACATATATGTCGGCCTAAAATTTTAAATACTACAGTTGAGTCAGATAGTAATAATAGTTTTATGAACGACCAGAATAAATTACTGTTCGTTTGTAAACAACAGTCTAGTTGCTAACCTTAAGTGTGAAACAGGATAGAGAATGATATTCTATGATAAACTGTACATCGAATATATATTAAAGCAAAATCAAATGTTATTTACTAGATGATGTTTTGAAAATAAATTATTGTTCATAATCACAAAAGTTTTTTTCCCATTCCCGTTTCCCAGTGGAATATAGCGCTTCAATCTAGTGGATTGAAGTTTCTGTAGCAGTGTTTATTTTACAGGATGAGGTTGCTAGCCTCATGCCAAACCTATTCTCTTTATCAGCATTATTCTTGGCTTAGCGAGGTAAAGGAGTGCATCGGCCGGATATCGAACTCCGGACCATGAGCATGGTTGGCTAGCGTCCTAACCCCTTAGCCACCGACGCCACAATAGTTGTAGATACACAATATTGAAAGTTGATATTAATGATTTTGTCAATATTTCCCCCATATTTCTACAGTGTAAAAAATTTCACACGTATCGAGGAGAGCGACCGAATAATTCCCCAAAAGATTCTTCACAAAATACTCCATAAAGAGAGTTTACAGATCATGAAAATAACAAAGAGTTCCATCCCATTATAAAACAAGTATATAATATAACAATATTAACCAGCGAACACAAGAGAAAAAATTCCCTATAATTGTTAATACAATAACAAATTCATATAAAAAAAATAGAAAACAAAAAAAATAATATCGAAAAAATTCGAAAAAAAACAGCAAAAAACGCTGGGAAAACATTTACGTGTTCATCCAAAAACAAAAACCTGATAATGTCCATCACCCTCAGTGATGGTCTCACAGCTATAAGGTAGGACAGAGCAAACTGCTGCTCCGTACACGCCTCCTTTGATGCAAAGCTGGATATCACGTCTACGCTAGAGATGATGTAAGTTGGCAAATCCCACACAAGCCTTTTGTATCCGGGCTGAGATTTCTTCGACAGTCAGTTCATTAGAGCTGATGCTACGTCCCACGTAGTCAAGTGGTCAACACGCCTACAGTCA